AATTTTTGTTTTTTTTTCGCAAGAGTTTTCTGGCTGTGAAAGGCTGAAAATGAGTTCAAAGTTTCTACCGTAATCCTACAGTAAGAATGAGAGATCGGCGATTCGCTCTATACAGTAAATTTAAGTTAAAGCCAGCTCTACAAAATGGCGCCTAAAGCTTCTCGAAAGACTTTGTTAAAAGAGAGTTATTCACAATCAAACAGTAGGCACATTTTTTACGGACACCCTGTATATACAGGGTGTCCCAAAAAAATGTTAACACTGTTTGATCGTTAATAACTCCCTTGATTTCAAGTCTTTTGCCGAGCTTTAGGTACCATTTTGTAGAGCGGGGATAAACTTAGATTTGCAGTATCGAGCGAATCATCTAGCGCTCCTCGTTACTGTAGAATTACGGTAGGAAATTTGACAAGGATTTTAGGCTATTGAAACCCATTTTCTGCCTCGGAACAGAGCCAACCAAGCCAAAATCTGTTGTACTATGATAATGGAAGCTGCTGATTTCGGATATGCAATTTTCACTTCATTACGATACTTCTTTTCAAAGTTATCCTAGGTAAAGTGCGATAACTGACTTCCCAGCATGTGTTAAAAATGTGATTACACCGTCAAAAAAGCTGAAAACACTCGTAAAAAGTTTTGTAGTAAAATCAGCGTGCGCGAAAACCCTAGTACAAGAATTTTCAGATTTTTTGAAACAAATGTTGTCAGAGGGCATAATTCACGACGGTTCCACATGCTGGAATTTCCTACCGTAATTCTACAGTAACGAGGAGCGTTAGATGATTCGCTCGGTACTGTAAATCTAAGTTTATCTTCGCTCACAAAATGGTACCTAAAGCTCGGCGAAAGACTTGAAAGAAGGGAGTTATTAACGATCAAACAGTGTTAACATTTTTTGGGACACCCTGTATATATATATACAGTGCTGAACATAATTATGGAGACGCTCTAGAAATCGTCGTAATTTTCGTTTTTGTCAGTGAATCTGTCTGAAACTTTGCAGTATGGTGCGCATTTAAGCCTACCATAACCTCCTCAGAACGGCTTCCAATCCCGTTGATTTCGAACGGAGATGAATGGAAAAATTCGAAAAAGCCTGTTTTGCAAGCTGGACATAATTACAAGGACACCTGGCCTTTTTAAACATTATCGCATTCCTTGACTCCCAAATTTTTTTGTAGAGTTACATCCCAGATTATGAAGCAGCACCTAGAACCTGTCATGCTACTCAAAGAAAGATGATCCTTGCATTTTTCGTTTCCAAAGGCATCAGAAGTCAAACTGCGACAAAGAGCTGGTTTGAGGAGTTTTTGAGCATTTCAAATGACAGTCTTGGAATACACTTAGCCTTTTTTATAAATAAGGTGAAGAGCGCTTTCGTAAACTCCGCGTAATCGCTGATATTGACAATCAGACTTCAACCCCATCATAAGATTGTCACGCTTTTACAACACAAAACTCATTTTCCAATGTTCGTGAAGTGATGGACTCGATTTATTACATTGCCCACATGGAGACGCTGCTTGATTGTGCAGGGTACTCGACTCAACTCTCAATATATGACAACTGCGGCTGAACCAGAATGTGTAACCCCGAAATTTTTTCCTGATTAGGCACACAAGTTTATTGTTGTACGTGTATTGTTGCGGCTACATTGCAGCGCTTTCTGTAACTTGAAAATCGAGTTTTGTGGTGCAAAAGCGCGACAGCCCTACGGTAAGGTTGGAGTCTGATTGTCAATATCAGCGATTACGCGGAGTTTACGAATGCGCTCTTCACCTTATCTATAAAAAGGCTAAGTGCATTTTAGGACTGTCATTTGAAATGAAAGCGGGCTTGAAAACTCCTCAAATCAGCTGTTTGTTGCCGCAGTTTGACTTCTGATGCTGGAAACGAAAAATGCAAGGATCATCTTTCCTTAAGTAGCATGACAGGTTTTAAATGCTGCAGAAGTTTTATATTCTGGGATGTAACTCTACAAAAAAATTTGGGCATCAAGGAATGCGATAATGTTTAAAAAGGCTAGTGTCCTTATAATTATGTCAAGCTTGCAAAACAGGCTTTTTCGAATTTTTCTATTTTTCTCCGTTCAAAATCAACGAAATTAAAAGCCGTTCCGCGGAGTTATGGTAGGCTTACATGCGCACCATACTGCAAAGTTTCAGACAGATTCACTGTCAAGAACGAAAATTACGACGATTTCCAGAGTGTCTCAATAATTATGTTCAGCACTGCATTAGGTTCCCGAAAGTTTTGCCGGTTTCCTTCACCGATCACTGAAACTCACAGAACAACAATCCATGGGCATGCTAAATATTATTTGATTCAGATTTTTATCCTCTTTCATACAGCTATATTTTCTCCCTGATCTACCCTGTCTTTGCAATGTTATCGCGATGGCTTTTTGAGCGGCTCAGCAGAAACGCCAAATCTTTCCTGAATTTGAAAATTTTTCATATTAATGTTTTCAAAAAGCGCTGACAACTGTTATGTAGACCATACCTTTGGCTACATTGCTTTCATTTCAGATTACGTGGGCCACGTTAACCAGGTCCGTTATAATTAATTATTCAATAAAAACCGCGACTTGATTACGTTCACCACGTAAAAGTACCGAAAATTTCAAAAAGCTGCTTTTTCAAGGCAAATCAAACTTGGTCATGTTGCATAAATAATCTTTAATAAAAATCATTTTTCAATTTGCAGAGACTTTGAGATTTTCCGTGTATTTGCTGCAGTGCGTGTTTCACGACTTTGCAAGAATCGAGACCTCTTAAGAAATATTTCTTTCAAGGTATAAACAGCAGATTAGGAGAATCTAAAAATGTAGCCTTGTAGTCCGAGAATTGCTCTAATAATATTCACTTTCCATGATGTTATTGTTCGCACGACATCATTGTGCGATAATCTATTGGCGGTCACATCACATCTTAAATGTCAACATCTTTATTAAACAAAGGTTTGCAGACAATCCACTTACACAATAACACTAGCACATTTCCCTTCCCTACTATCCTTACACAAATTACCTGCGTTACCTGTTTCCTCTCCTTGGGTTACCGTCGTTCCGAGGGAGGTACGATTGGTCCGAATCTCCTGGTGTCCTTCGTCCTTTCTTAAGAACACTTCGGGTGTGATAGATGGAAGTAGATAACGGGACGTTATTATGAGAATGGCGCGATGATATACACATGACTCATGCACTCCCGGCGTAAACGTTTCCTTTTTATTATTATTATTTTTTCATTTTTATTATTATTCTTTTATTATTTTTTTATTTATTATTTTTTTAACCCTTTCCATATTGTTATTGTTATACAGGATAATAAATACAAAACAATTGGTATATTTTCACACAATCTTGGCGTCCTGAAGTCGACGTTGAGTTCTTTGTGTTGTAGACATTGCACCGTTGTTTATTTTCTGTTTCTTTACTCTATATAAACAATGCTGTTTACCGATGATTCCGACTTCCTCATATTGCGTTTACCATGATGATGTTGTTACTGCAATATTGAGAAAGGATAAAGAGTTATTCCATTACATACTTTTATTCCAGGATATAAATGCATTCAACAAAATACCAGCAGTATGATAAGGCATTGATAATATTAGGTTGTCCGGAAATTAATGTCCGTTTTGAATTTCAACCGCAACAAGTCATAGAATTTTCATTCCTGAATAGATTTCAAGGTACCATTCGATAGAGCAAAGCAAGCTCTACAAGATGGCAGTCTTGCTTTAGCAACAGCTCTGATCCACCTCGAGTATCGAGCCAAAAACTAAAAAGATATAACTACCCGAAAAATCAAGAAAAATCATAATTCAGTTCGTAAGAATTCTACAAAAATTCTAACTTGCTCACGTAAACACTATCCACATAAGACATATACGTACGCTACTGCCGTATTTTTTCCTCTGTTGGAAATCGAAAAAAAGAACATTTTCATACTTTTGCAAAAGTGGTGCTGTGTCGTCCCAATATAAGTAGATGTATACTACAAATCTGTAGAAGTAAAAACGTGGATCTTCAGTTTTTTACAAGCTTTAGTTTTCGAGAAATTTTAATTTTAGTTTGGACTACCTGACTAATGAAAGCTATATTCGATGTTTCTCGAGAACTAAAGCTTGTAGAGAGCTGAAAATTTGCGTTTGTACTTCTACAGATTTGTAGTATACATCTACTTATGTTGGGACGACACAGCATCACTTTTGCAAAAGTATGAAAATTTCATTTTTTCGATTTCTAACAGAGGAAAAAATACGGCAATAGCGTACTTATATGTCTTATGTGGATAGTGTTTACGTTAGCAAGTTAGAATTTTTGTAGAATTCTTACGAACTGAATTATAATTTTTCTTGATTTTTCGGGTAGTTATATCTTTTTAGTTTTTGGCTCGATACTCGAGGTGGATCAGAGCTGTTGCTAAAGCAAGACTGCCATCTTGTAGAGCTTGCTTTGCTCTATCAAATGGTACCTTGAAATCTATTTAGGAATGAAAAGTGTATGACTTGTTGCGGTTGAAATTCAAAACGGACATTAATTTCCGGACAACCTAATACAAAAGCAATTGTATAGCAACGAGAATAATACAATGTTGCCTCACAATGTTACCGTTATTACCAAGTTACCGCTTTTGAAAAATTTGCTTGAAGTTTCAATTACTAGAAAGTTGCCATCAAAATTACAATTGTAAAATTTTTTTTACTTTTCAGTTACAATCTTTTAAAATCCAAATTGCGCGAGGCAGAAAGCCGAATGGTGGGTGGTGACTTCCCTCCTTCCCAATTGCCTGCAATAATAACAAGCGGCTGTTGCATTACACGAGGTTGCCAAGTGGTCTGCTCTTCCCAGACAGCGTTCGCATTTATCCGTTTCGATTGCCCTTTGCCTTCTTGCCGATAATGTAAGGTACTGCTGACAGAAAGTGGCCCAGTGTTCCCCGTTGCAAAAGAGACAATTGTGGGGTGGGCGTGCGGGATTACCACGCCTTTGGTTACCTTGTTGCACAAGTTTGATTGCCTTGTTGTTGCGGTGGTGCTGGCTCTGGTGCTTCCATCGGTGGGATGTTGGCTCCGAATTCAGGTTCTGGCACTAATTCCCGTAAGTTTCCTTTCATTCGGTGTTGCCGGTTTGCAACTTTATTTACCGTGTCCTGAAATCAAATGCGCTCATAGCAAATATTGTAATTTGTTTTTTGAGTTTCTAGTACCTTAAATTTTTTATCGTATTTTAATCCAGAGTTTTCAATTTGTTTTCTTTTGCGGCTCTTTAATAACAAAATTTCACCATCAGATTGAGCAAAGTTACTAAAAGTTAACGCTTACCACCAAGTAATCGAGACGCCGGTTGATTCTAGCGAAGTTGGTATCCTGGGCTTTTACCATTTCCTTGATTTTGTTTTCAATGAATGGTAGGAGTCCTTGCCACTCAATGGGTGCTGGCGGTTCCGGCTCGGCGAATAGCTCGTGGACGTTTACTTCTAGTGGTTGCCTTGCCTCGTCGTTGCCTTCCATTGCAGATTGTTGCTCATTTTCATCATCCATAAGTTCGGGTTGCGCTTCTGGAGCGGCCATGATCTCTGTAAAAAGAAATTTACTATTTCTGTTCCCTTTCAAATTAAACACTCAATGCGAATGAAGTCATTACCAAATAGATCGAATACAGAATTTAAAAATGATGAAAGGAAATTTGAAAATAAATTTGAAAAGAAAGAATGCTAAGAAGACCGCTCGCAACGGCGGAAAAAAGCTTATGGCTGAGATTCTAGAGCTGATGTTTCCATTTCCTTTGTATCTTCTTGTACTCGAGGAGCCCTTGCTCAGATGGATTGTGCTGCTAACTATAGAAAATGCCAGCGCTGTAAGTGTGATTACTGTATAGAGCGCGTGAGTCTTGTAAGTATCAAGAATATGTGAGAAGTCTGGTAAGAAATCAAAGGGAGTACCATTGTCTGATGTAATGCCCCATTTTTTGATATAATGCATGAATGGCTGAATTCCATTGATGTAGTTGAGCGTTCCCTCGATTTTGAAAAACATTTGTTGATTACCACATTTTACTTCACATTGTTCGCGTACTTGAGCCTTGTTAAAATAAAGGCGAATTGCGTTTTGCGTGCCATCTTGTGAACATTCAACTAAAAATTGGTTTGTGTTGCAATTTACTTGGGTTGTAATTTTCTTCATATTTGCGTAACATTTGAGAGTCTCTATAGCTCCTTTCCAACAATTGTAGCAGCTTATCATTCCTTATGGGACGACATTACAGGAAAATTGCGTGATTTCTTGCTTTACTTAGATGATTGAAGGGTGGAGGATGATGGCTTTTTCAGTTGAAATAGCTTTTGCCCTTATTGTGGGAATATTGTATTTGCTTTCGATGTCAATTATTTTATTTGGTATTGGTACCGGTAAGGTGTTGCAAAGGTGCATGCTGTCGCTAGCATTGTTATTCATGCAGTAACAACTTATGTAGTCTTCCGCGGGGTTACATTTGCATGTATCCCTAATGTTGCAACTTTCGTTTGGGTGGTTGAAATTTTGGCAAGCATAACTGAATGTTGCTTTTTCCTCTAAATACGGTGTTTTTTCCATTTGTTATAAATGTTTTTGCTAAAAGAGTTATAGGTTCCCAACTCATTGCGAGTATTTCAAGTAGAGGTGCGATAGGGGGAGCCGGACCCACCGAAAGTGAAGGTGGTCCCAGCTACCACTGGCCGGCCAAGTGGAGGTGGTAGTGTCGGACACTCACCTCCCAAAAACGTCGACAGGGAGGGGGAGGGAGGTGGGGGGGGGTTAACGATCGAACGGAGCTATCTTTCTAGGTCGAACTATGACCCAGCGGCTTTCTTTAGGGCCACAGATACGATGCATATTAAAAATATTTATAAATTTTATTTATATTAGGTGGGTCACAAAGTTCGTTCGCCAGATTTTCAAAAAATCATAACTTCCTTCCTTCTTGGTGGAATTGCTTGAAATTATTCCTGTTTAAAAGAGGAAACCTTTCTTTCTACAATAGTACCTTTGGCATGAAATAGCGTGAGAAAGTTCGAGAGTTAAAAGCAGTTGAATGAAATCACTCAAGATCGACACTTTTCAAGTAGGGTCACGAAAAATTCTGGAAGTATTTTTATTTGATAGAGTAAATTTTGCACATTACAGCGGTACCTTTTTCATGAATTAAAACGAAGTAGATCGAGAGTTCGAAGTAAATAAAGAGAATTTCTTCACTTTTGCAATTTTTGAGCATGCTCAAAAAAGCTTGAAAACGTCACAGAAAAGGTGAAAAAGTCATAAATATGGGTTTTGTGGCCTTCCCTTTCTATCTGAGCGAAAATCGTGCCAATCGGGAGCAATTTTCATTTTCGCGATTTATTCGGATTTTCGGGTCTGCGTTTTTCACGAAAATGAAAATTGCTCCCGATTGGCAAGATTTTCGGTCAGCTAGAAAGGGAAGGTCAAAAAACCCATGTTTATGATTTTTTCGCCTTTTCTGTAACGTTTTCAAGCTTTTTTGAGCATGCTCAAAAATTTCAAAAGTGAAGAAATTCTCTTTATTTACTTCGAACTCTCGATCTACTTCGTTTTAATTCATGAAAAAGGTACCGCTGTAATGAGCAAAATTTACTCTATCAAGTAAAAATACTTCCAGAATTTTCCGTGACCCTGCTTGAAAAGTGCCGATCTTGAGTGATTTCATTCAACTGCTGTTAACTCTTGAACTTTCTCACGCTATTTCATGCCAAAGGTACTGTTGTAAAAAGAAAGGTTTCCTCTTTTGAACAGGTCTAAATTCAAGAAATTCCTCCAAGAAGGAAGGAAGTTATGATTTTTTGAAAATCTAGCGAACGAACTTTGTGACCCACCTAATAAAAATTTAAAATATACGTGTTTGGTAAATGGTGTATTTGGAAGTATTAGGTCGTTCCGAAAGTAATGTCGCTTTTTTCAAAAGTGTGCCACATCTCATGGAACAAAGATATATTAGAGATTCTGGTAGCATTTGATGCAGCATTTCATTCTCTTTCTAATGGTTATACAATTACCGCACAAAATTGAACAAACTCTGAAAAAATTATCGGAATCTGCGACCCATGCTTTTTGAGAAGGTCAAGTTTCACAATTTTCCTAAATTTTTATAACAATCCCCGGAAGGAGTCCAAGTTATGTATGGATAGAGCAAGCCCTACGGGAAACAGCACAACTTTTTCCTACTTTTGAGAGCTCGTCATAATTTCTGTACAGATTTTTCGATGGAAATATCGAATCCTAGTAGGCTCGTCTCAGACTCAAATGCATCAAACACTAAGAAATCTTTGGGATTTGAAACTTACAAAGATGGACTACGGTTTTACATTAATTTTACAAAGCAAATGAGCGTCTACTGCTTCAGATTAGCAACTTTCGAAAGTTCCGGGTGCAGCCGAAGGCGCCCTGGAAAACTTGAATTATGATGATTTTATCTCGGAAAACTTGATGAATCGTAAACCAAAAACAACTGGTAGAAAGAGGAGAAAAAGCTGCGTCGAATGACACCCGAGTTGCTTGCCGATTGTTGTTCTGTGAAGTTTGAGTTGACTAAATACGGAATTTGATGGCATTTTAAAACTGATTCCGGATACTCTGAGAAGCAAGCTAAGGAAAAGAAAAAATTACTATGTGTCCTATAGGGTTTGCTCTATTTACCTGCCACTTGTGCTTCTTCGGAGAGTAGGTACAAAGATTAAGAAAAATAGCCGAACTTGACCATGGCAAAAAGCACGAGTCGCAGATTTTGTTAATTTATCGAAAGATCAATGAGAATTATGCAATGGAACTAGAACCATTTGAAAGAGGATGAAATGCTGCATCGAATGCTCCTAAGATCTCTTGAAACCTTGATTCCATGAAACGTGGCGTTCATTTGAAAAAAGCGACATTACTTTCGGAACGACCTAATAAAAGTACATCTCCAATACATTAAAGTGGGCTAGGGGAGACTTTGGTATGAAAAGGCTCCCCGCACGGGCATAATTCGTAAGAGGCTCTAAACCCCTACATATTATATATCGTCTAAAAGCTCTTGATGAGAAGAATCTAACCTATGAAGTGCAACATGATTCATGCAGTTCTGAAGAAGTTATGAGCTGTTGAATTTCAAAAAGCGCTTTTTTACCTGCTTTTTCAAGACTCTGGATCTCGGAGGTGTTTCAATGGATCGGAACGGCTAAGATATATCCTGATAAGGCAAACCTTACTCTATAAAACCTATAAAGTCGCAACATCAAACACTTTCACATTCAAGATTTATATGAGTTTAACTCTCATCTGTCAAAAAACACGCAAAAATGGCGTAAATTTTTAGAATTCTGGTTTTCAACGACTGTCTCTCAAATCCACTCGATTTTTTAACCAGCTGAAAGAGCACCTTTACTCTTTAAAACCCTTAAAGTCGTAACTGCTGACATCTTCAAACAACAGATATATAACAGTGGAAACTTTGCATGATTTTTCACTATTTAATTATTCAAAATTCTGGTTCTCGGCCGTTACTGCCTGGATCGATCTACTTTCTTCGCTGTACGTTATAACAAAATTTGCTTAATAAAATCCGTACAGTTTCGCTAAGTTTTACTTCCAAATACACCTTACTGAGCACGTTTATTTCAAATATATATGCCGCCGTATACATAAATATATGCTTTCAAGAATCTTTTTTGCGCTTGTTTTGCTTATTTTCCTTCTTTATCGTCCAGCAAAAAAATTTTTATTTCAAAAGTGAGGGTGGTCGCCCTGTACCAGCTCACAAGTGAAGGTAGCCGGAGAATCTGCTCCCACTATCGCAACTCTGATTTCAATTTTCGCGTTTCCGAGATGTTTCCTTACATGCGGTGCTAATTCTACTTTGTATCCGCAGGAACGTCCCAGTCCTTCGCATGATTCTGTGCAATACGTAATACCTGTATTATTATTTGCAGGTTTTAGTTCCTGTAACTTGCTTTCGGGTGTTACTGCTGCACATTTTTTACCAGTACAAGAGCCCATGTGCGGACATCTTTTACGATATTGAACCTTTACTTCTATGTCTCCCGTAAAGTATAAACTTTCTTTGAGGCATCGTAGTACAGCTTCGTGAAGTGTTATTTTCATTATGTGTTTCGTGCTTTTCCCATTTTCCAAGTGGAGACAAAGTTCTGGTTGCAAAGGATTTAGTTTGCCGATCACCTTGCTTGTTGTGCAGTTCTTGTAATTGTTTGTGCATTGCGTTACTGTCGATTGCACGATTACATTTTGTTGACACGCTTCGGCAAAGTACCATATTGTCGTAGTCAGGGCGAGTATCCTCACCAGGGTCGATGGTCTCCAAATTCCTCTTTCCCGATTGCGCACTTCCACAAGAGGCATGTCTTCTGTTGTAATTTGTCCAGAAGATGTTATGAACTAGCGAAGTAATAAGATTTTGCGGAAGAGTTTGATTCCCATCTTTGCTACACGTTTGGTTGCCTTTGCTCATGTATATTGTTGTAAAAAATATGTATAAAATCAGCGCTGATACTCCAATTGCGATGTGTGGCCAACATTCCGGGTTGGAA